GACTTAATTTCTTCAGATATTGTGTGATAATAGTCTTGGATATGCCTATAAAACATGTTATTTCAATAAATAAAACTACTGCACTTCAGGTTACTACTCTATTGATTTTGTTTAAATTTAGTTTAATAGATTAAAAAAATTAATAATTTCCCTGGCCTTTCTTTTTTTTTTCCAATTCAGTCCTGTATTTCACCACTGAAAGTTAGTAAGAAATTCATGTTTGTTAGTAGAAATACATCTGGGTAAAATCAGCCCTTAGTCTTGCCAACCTTCAAAGGTAGCAAAGCCTTGTGCTACAGAAGATATGACTTGAAGCTCATACTGATGATAGCAACTATAAATCTGCAATTGTCCACTAATGCCCTCAGTTGATAGTATCCATCCAGCCATTCTTTCATCCATCAAGCAGTTATAAAGAAGCACTATTTGGAAGACACTGTTGAGGAGAAATGCACTGCTATCAAGAGCTATTAGTCTAAAATGGACATAAGACACACCCCCAAATTAGTATAAATCAAAGTATAAATGGTTATAGATATTCACAGTCTTAATATTGTCTGCTGACACAGATGCCCAGATAGACTTATAGAGAAATAACTGATATTTATGCAAACACATTCATATCTCTCTCTATATATAATAAAAACACACATCCATATATATATGTATATATTATAACAAAGACATATTAACATAGAGCTTCTGTCACTGACCCTTGATTTTGTAAGGAGGGATTTAACTGAATACCTATAATAGATCACTTCCAATGTTATTTCATTTAAATGTTACCTCACTTAAAAGCATTTGCCCACTTTTCTCAGCACAACACACTTGCATGTGGAATGTGAAAGTATTTGAGGCAAAATTCCCTTGACATCTCCTGCTGCCCTGATGCTGCTTCTACTTTCATGGTATTTTCCTCACTGAGCATGTATCTCTCCTGCTGAGTTCATTTTTTTCTTCATCCATAGACTTTCTAAGTCCTAATCTCTAGCCTATTCCCTGACACTCATGATGGTGCCATGTGAACTGGATCCACTCACTGCTATTCTAGAGGTCAATTTTGCCGCAACTTCATGGGAACCAGGACATCTCTATAAGGCCCACACTTACCTTGGCTTTTGTTAGGTTCATTATTAGGGTTACTCAGCTGCTTTATGATAACCCAGCAACCTAGTTTCCACATATTAGCTTCCCAGTTCCAGAGCAGCATGGCTAAATTGGAGCAAGGAGAACAACAAATGTTCCTTGTTTTTTTTTTTTTTTTTGTCTTGCCATTTGATAAGCAGGGCACATGGGAAGACAGTTCTGAAACTTCAAGATAAGCAAGTTCTGTGAGACATGGGTGCCAAGTCCAGGTTTTGACCTTTAGTAAGTTCATAGTTTGCTGCCAAGTTACAACCTATCCTGTCAAACTCTTATAGGACATGCTCACGTTTTTTTCTTCCTTGTCTACTTGCCCACTGACAGGGCACTGCTGTGACAACAGATGAAGGTCTTTGGCTGCCTGTGTGGTTTTCCTGGTGCGGCCTGGGACGTGTCGTTCATTTGACTTATCAGTTCAAAGTGTTGTGCAAGCCAAGTAAAGCAGTTAATCATATGTTACCCATCAGCTTACACAGAAATTCTTAGATTCAAATCTTCTTTAATAAAAAAAGTCAGCCTCTTTACACTTTTCTTTTTTAGCTAAAGCCATAGAAAACTACCACTTTTACCACTTAAAAAAGGGCAGAGTAGTATTTAAAATGGCTCAACCTAATAATTCTCATCAAAGTGTTAGAATACCTTCATAAATCTTTGCTATGAAATCAAAATCATTGCTGAATACAAATAATTCTAGAAGGATAAGATACAAGTAAGAGGGTAGTAGAGGTTCATGGAAAATTCTGACTTTGACCAATTCTTATGATTATAGGATATATTGAACATTTTCCTACTCATTCATAACAAACGTTTATCTCTACTTCACAAAGATAAACTGTTCTGGTAAATGAATGACTAAAAAAATATATATGAAAAGAAATGTGCTCCCCCCAAAAATAAGTGTGCTCTTTGTAACTCATAAACTCATAACGTTGTTAAAAATAAGCAAAAGAGATTGGGTTAGGAAGCCCCTATGTTCTATACACTAATCAATTAACATTTTATATCTATAGTGGTTATAAAGAAATAAAATTAGTTTTACTTCAGAATTTGGTTTAGCAAAATAACAGCCTTGGGATATGGACACAGGGAGAAAAATCGAGAAGGTAGAAGACATTGAGCCAAAGGCTCCACTTCGCTGTATTACCCAGCAACATTTGCAGGTTACTACTCATCTTTACTGATTCAACAAATATCAATTAAAGGGTTGAATAACTGGTGGCTTTGAAATTAGGGAGCCTATATTTAAGGCCACTTCTTGCCCCGAAGCCTTGGGATAATCACTGAACCTTTGTTGTAGTTTGAATGCTGGTTTTTCCTCTAAAATTCACGTTGAAACTTAATTCCCATTGTGGTGGTATAAAGAGATGTGGCCTTTTTGAGCAGTGAGGGCTATGCCCATAAGAATGTATTACTGCCTTATAAGAGAGCTAGGGAAAACTGGCTTTGGCTTTTTTGTCCCTGTGCCTTCTACCATGTGAGGGTGCTACTGTGAGAAGATACCATCAAAGGAGCAGGACCTCACCAGACTCCAAACCAGACTGTGATTTTAGATTCCACAGTCTTTAGAACTACAGGAAATAAATTTCTGCTCTTTATAAGTTACCTAGTCTTAGGTATCTGTTATAGCAC